GCCCAGCCCTCGCGCACCTCGCGGCAGAAGTAGCGCTGGAAGAGGTCGGTGAACTGCAGCGACACGAGCTCGGCGCGCAGCGGCGCGTGGTGCGGGTGCTCGCGCGCGAAGACCCAGTACTGCCGGGCCAGCTCCCGGGCCGCGGCCACAGCGTGCAGCTCGCAGAATTCGCTCCAGCCCCGCGGGGACGGCGACGACGCTGCCGACGAGGACGGGGAGGACGCGGAGGAGGCCGAGGAGGGCTGCAGGGTGGGTCCGTTCATGGCGGAGACCGAGGTGGGGCGGCCAGGCTGAAAGACACGGTGGGGTGGGCGACAAAGGAGTGAGCAGGCAGGTGAGCAAACGACTACTTAAACTCGTCACCGCAAGACAGGTTATTCACCAGGCACAACGTCAGAAATCGGAAGTGACCGATAATACCCGGTGCTGGTGAAGGTGCAGCGAAATGGTCGCTCCCCGACAACGCTGCCAGCACTGTTAACTGATGCGGCCTTTTTGGAGGGCAATTTGGCAGGATCCATTTCAGACCCAGGAATGCCACTTTCAAGTATTCAAGAGAATGCTTGCTTGCAATGTGCAGAGAGGCAGGTACAAGACAATCCCCTGCTAGATGTTTTCCGCTTCGATGTGTATACCACTTAAATGCCCATCAGAGGCAGGTAAAGCAAACGGTGGTACATCTGCAGACTGGAATATTCTGCAGCAGTAGAAAAGGTAGAGGAAGGTCTGCGCTACCACCCCAGGGAGATCCCCAAGGCAAACCATGGAACAGTGCAGACTGTGATCCCATTTACGCGCACACACACAGAACCAAATTACCAATTTTTATGTGTGTGTAAATGAGTTTAAGTGGTGGGCAAGAAGGTGTGGCTGGAGCAAAGCCGCCAGAAACAGTGGTGACCTCTGGGGCAGAACCAGATTTGGGATAACAGTAACCAAGGAATACTGCTGCTACTTGCCTCTAGAAAATATGGTAAAGAACACAGAGCCTGCGTTCAAATGCCAGCACCGCCCCTTACTAGTTATGTGACTTTGGGTGAGTTACTGACTTCTCTCTGCCTTAGTTTCCCCATCTGTAAAATGGAGAACACAACTGGAGCTGCCTTATAGGAGTGCTATGAGGATTAACTGAGTTAATAAATATAAACGTGTTAGAACTTAGGAAAAGCGGGCGCCTGGGTGACTCAGTTGGTTAAGCGACTGCCTTCAGCTCAGGTCATGATCCTGGAGTCCCGGGATCGAGTCCCGCATTGGGCTCCCTGCTTGGCAGGGAGTCTGCTTCTCCCTCTGACCCTCCTCCCTCTCATGCTCTCTGTCTCTCATTCTCTCTCTCTCTCTCAAATAAATAAATAAAATCTTTAAAAAAAAAAAAGAACTTAGGAAAAGCCTACTAAAGGCTGGCTGTTACTATTTAAATATTAAATGAGAGTGTATCATTGGTGAAAATATAAAACAATGAATAAAAAGGAATCAATTAACAAGACTCGCAAAAGAGTGCAAAGGTATTTCCTGCTCCAATGTGGGGGGAATGTCAGGACAGGCAGACCCTTGCCTACCCATCCCACCTGGGGTTCCCTCTCCTCCCACCCCTACCGCTCCTTCTTTGGCACCACACAATCAAAATGGCAGAAGCCCCCTACCCTCTGCTGTCCGAGGTGCTGAACCTTGGACCTCTCTAGTTAAGTTACAATCAATAATACTGTCCTTCCTTCCACCTAAGCCTGTCTGGGCCTGGGCCCCTTTTGGGGCCCCATAATGATCGCTGCTCATTCCACCACCATGCCCCCCAATAAAAAACTATTACTGAGGGCCTACTCTGTGCCAGGCACTGTGCTAGGCCCTGGGGGATACAGCAGTGAACCAGACACAAATCCCTCCTGGGGCTACACTATTCACGTATGTAGAGGCTGTGTGACCTCTGACACCTGACTGGACATCTCTAAACCCCAGTTTCCTTATCCGTCAAATGCGGAGCACCATCATATCCACCTCATTAAACGGTTATAAGGAGTCCTTGAAAGGCACTCAGGGTGGAGACCTGGACCTGGAAACTGAGGTTCTTTCTCCCACACACCACTGCCCAGGCACCTTCTATTTGTGTGACCCTGTGCAGGGTCAGGGCGGGGCAGACCTGTAGGGCAGCTGCAAGGACAGTACCCTCTCCAGGCCATGGTGGCGACCCTGCAGTGACTGCAGCAGGACACCCCAGACAGTGCAGAGTAAGTGTCTGCATCAGCGAGGAAGGTGGAAACCTAGTCACAGTAAGCACTTGGCACACAGTAGTCAATGAAAGCCGCCAGGCAGAAAGGAAGGGAGAGGAGCCACATGTGCCCTTGATCACCGCCCTCCGCCAAGAAAACCACCCTGCACCTGTGAAGGTGCGTGCGTGCGTGCGTGTGTGTGTGTGTGTGTGTGTGTGTGGGTGTTATCTGCATGTGTGTGTGATTTGTCCTTGGTTAACCCCATGGCCACGCCACACCCCCGCCTCCACACAGGTGAGGCAAGCACTGTTCTCACAGGTTAGGGGGCCCAGAAAGCTCTCGGATTCCTGACCCAAGCTCCTGCCCACCTGTGAGACCCTGTGTGATCTGCCGCCACTCGTGCTAGCTGCAGCCTCTGGGCCTTGCCTTCGGTGTTCCCTCTGCCCTGCCTGCTCTCGGTCAGCTTCCAACTTCACACACGAGAAGCCTTCCATGAGCCCACCAACCGAGTCAAGTACTGAACTTGTCCTTCAGCACACTGGTCACAGTTAACGTTCAATAGCTAGGATTACTTAGGGAAGCCTGGCTGGCTCAGTCAGTTAAGCGTCCGACTCTTGATTTCAGCTCAGATCATGATCTCGGGGTTGTGAGATCGAGCCCCGCATTGGGCTCTGTGCTGGGTGTGGAGCCCGCTTAAGAATTTCTCTCTCCCTCTTCCTCTGCCCCTCCCCCCATACACGCTCACTCCCTCTCTCTAAAATAAATAAATCTTTTTAAAAAAATAGCTGTGATTTTTATTTATTTTATTTTT